CCCTTCCTGACTTCCACAGACAAGTTGTGTGCTCTAGTCGTAACTTCAGTCCACCATAGTCATGAACAGAACAAAACACAAAAACAACAGAAAACAAACAGAAACTAAAATATCAGAAAGGCACCAGCCACTCCGAGTGAGCCACAGAAATGAAAAAGACTCAGACGGAAGAGGCTTGCGCAACTTCTCTCTCAGAAGCAGAACACAATCCTCACTCCTCAGAGAGGAGGCCACCAGGTGTCCCTGGTCCTCCTCACCTCCTGGGCGTCCTCCAGGGTGGTAGACCATGAGCACATCTACCAATCATTGCCTCTCACCTGACTGCGAAAAGCGGCTGCGAAACCAAAAGCACTTTTATCGGAAGGGATAATAGAAAACAGATTATTCGACAGACAGACAGACCAGCTGGGAATTGACAATTACCAGGGGATCCCCCTTACCTCCAAGATGGTTTTCAAGAGTGAGAGGTGGTTGCAGATCCAGGATGAGCCCCCAAATGTAAGACCCACCCCCAAAAGGAAGACCCTACTGCTCAACGGGAGATGCAGACCCAAACCCCAAATCACTCACGAGAAATGAATCTTGATGCAAACAGCAAGAGGGTTTATTCATGCCAGCGCGCTGGGGCCCAACTCATAACCCATGCAAGGGTAGCAGGGAAAATTGCAGCTTTTATGGGGAAAAACTGCAGCAAGGAGTGAAGGGGGTGGCACTTTAAACCCATTGGTTTTAAAATTGGCATACATTATCTTTACATAACACCAGGTCAAGGCCAGGTCAGGCCGTCTGGGGCTCCTATGTCTCAGTTCTTGTTTTTCTCAGAACTGTTTATCTAGACCATCTGTTCTTGTCGTTAGCCAGGTTCCTGGAATCGAGGGGTTCATGCTCTCAATGTTCTAGTTTGTTGATTTCTAACTGGGCCAAAGGACCTCAGGCAGAAGTCTAGGGCCAAATTAAAATTTTTCCATTCTCTCATATGCACCCAAAGAGCAGCTACAGTTGGGCGGCTCAATGTCCAGGGACCCTGGCAGGCCCATCTGGAAGAATGTTAATCAACAATCAGATCCCTATAGGGCTTAGCCTTCAGAGTTAAGGCCCTGGCCCTGGTAGATAACAGGACCAGAAGCAAGCCTTGATAATTATCTGACCATCAACTCAGTCTGCCCTATCTGGGCTGGCTGCTAGGGGAAGCCTGGGGAAAACAGAGTACTGGGTGGATATAGAGAGTTGATATTTGCTTGATTGTATGAAACTGAGCCTGAAGACATAGCTCAAGCTGGCCTCAAATTTATGATCCTCCTGCCTCCATCTGAAGGCTGAGATTACAGGTGTACCCCCCCATGACATCTAGATGGATGTGCTCTGTGTGCTAGAATACCATCAGAGCAGGAAGTAACTGTCTTCTCAAGATGTGCTCTGTGTGCTAGAATACCATCAGAGCAGGAAGT